GTATATTAATAATTTAAAACTAAATAAATAAATGTTAAATATAAATAAATATGAATAAAGTTTAAAAAAATTAATATTGATAATATTTCAAATAAAAAAATTGCGGCTTCCATTAAAATGTCATTTAGTGCTCCTGCCCAGGAAGGTTTTTATTCTGGCACTACCTGTTATAGGGTGAAAACACCATGTCTCAGGCTGCCAAATTGTGCTCCTGCGTTGTCACCCTGACGTAGATAGAGCGTCCGTAGCAAAGTCTTGTCTTTCGGGATTTGTGGGGTGATGTGCTTACCTGGAGCTATCATCTTATTTTGCACTCGCAGCTGATAATTGTGCAACAAGCGGACCGAACGGCCAATCCATTACTAACAATGAGAGTGTATAGATCAGGGGTAGGCAACCTCTGCACTCAAGCTGTGGTGAAACTACAAATTCCAGCATGCAACTGCCTCTGAGAGCCATGCATGTGGCTGTCAGAGTCCTGCAATGCCTCATGGGACTTGTAGTTCTACTACAGCTGGAAGGCCAAGCTCGGGCACCCCTGGTCTAGAGGATGTACAGTGGGACACACACGTGGGGGGCTATACAGGAGACCCGGGGGATGTGCTGGCCCATTGAAATACATAAAGACAATGGCCTGTGCCTGTCAATAGTCTTTTATATACAGGAGAGTCTTTGAGGGAACACTATTCATCTACTTAATCATTCACCGGCTCTTGATTCACCATCTCATGGGCCGCTCCTTGCCATATTCACACCTTTCTGTACGGAGGTAAAAAAGGCATCTGGTATATTTGATTCACCCACTCTGACACCAAAATGGTTCGGGGGGCTGAATCACCTACCCACCAGCCTGGTATACACAGGGACCCCCAATGGAGACATCCCCCACACCTACCTGACCAGTATGAAGCACCCACAATGGAAGGATTGGGCAGACATTTGGCAATCCTTGTCCCCCACATTCACCCCCTGCAGTTTATGAGACATATATGAAGCTGGTATGTGATTCACCTCCTGGAAACCCCTAAAACAACGCATGTGACAGGCATCACCCCTATATTAATATATGGAGCACCCCACACTAGAAAAGTCTACACCTCTAGTAATACTGTATATGGGGCATCCCTATAAAGATATATGTAGCCCCCCTGCACACTTACAGTAGAGATCTTCTCCCATATGTATGTGACACCCTTCAGCCCCCCATAGTAATACATATGGCCTCTCACACTATAGTAATATATAGGAACTTCCCCTATAGTAATATATATGCATATATATGGCACCCCTATATTAATATTCATGCCCCTCTATAATAATACATATGACCCCCTATAATATTATATATGCCCCTCTATAATAATATATATGGCCCCCCTAAAATAATATTCATGCCCCTCTATAATAATACATATGGCCC